CATGACAGGAGGAGAGCTCACAGTACTAGGCTTCTGCTGAGGAATGTGGGTTTTTGCACTGGTTGCAGCACACTCTTTCTTCTGCCCAAGGAGCCCAGGAGCAGCTGGTCACATGGACTCTGGGAGCAGAAGAAAAGCAACAGTATATGTTGCAAATGTAAGAAATGCCAAAGGCACAATGGGGAGGCATGAGATAGGAACAAAAACAATGCATTTCTGCTCAGCATCTTGAGACTTTACAGAACTCAGATCCTCAAAAGCCTAACAGTGATATTTCTAGGGACTCGTTATAATGGTAAGATTAAAACAAAAAACCCTCCAACAAATGCAGTATTACCAAATTCAATTCTACTTTTACATTTTTTGAGATTTCAAAACCTTTCAGATCTGAAAATTGCAATTTCCTGCTGGAAGTTTAGAAAGCCCAGTCTCCCAGGGACCGTAACTGCAAGGAAGCCCTGTACAGAAGGCACTAACACGTCCAGTCTCCCTACCCTTAAGTCAGGATTCTGTAAGTTATGACCGTTCACAGGGCTTCTCCCTATTCTATGAAGCTAGGAGCCATGCCCAGGTCCTTGGAGAATCTAGGCTCCTTGCCAAAAAACAGGAGTTTGAAAACCTGGGGCCACTCAGGGCTACTAGGCTCCCTGCCATGAAGCTAAGATCTGAGCAGAGCTCTGAAAGGTGTGGCACAGATTCTGGAAGAGTTGGCAACTCTGAAACCCTCACTTGCTTCGGGGCTAATGGAGAGCTCATAGCCAAAAAGCCCTAGAGTCCTGGCTCGCCCATGAGCTGCACACTTGGAATCACACCTATAGCTTGGTTTCTACATTTTCAAAACAAAACAATTTTAATTATTTCAAACTTACATTGCTGCTTTGTTTCCTTTCTCCTCAGACTTTTGCTTTCACAGGAAATTCAGAAAATCAATTTCTATTCTATGATAAAGTTCACTCCTGTTTCTGGTAACTGGCATTTCTTGAATTCCAATACAGAAAACACGATTTTCAATCAGCTCCACTCATGACGGCTAACTTCAGAATACAGGAAAAACCATTACAATTAACATGTAAAAGTAATAAGCACACAACAGAATACATTCAGCACGGAATTGCCTCCCTGACCCTGCAGCCTAACATCCCAGCAGGCATCTTGAGCAGTTGTCACCTCTGAGAAACAAACCAACAGGAGGCCTTTCTCAAAAGCAAGCCTGGGAGGGGATTCACCTAGTTATGAACTTTGTTTTTACTGTCACGGTACTTGCACGTAAAAATTAATTCTTCATGTAAATTCACAAGGTAGGAGATAACATGTTACATAACTTACCAATAATTTCCATATGGATATTTCTCATTTAGCGATCACTGCCGTTCACGTAAGCGGGCTCCTATCAAAGTTCCAGAGGTTAAAGTGAAAACTTGCATACTGTGGGGTAGGTTAAATACATATGTAAACTATACTGCACTATTTCCTTATTCCTTTAACACTTACAAATCACTGATACCTAATACCTAACACGTAGATGTGGCACACAGGGACATGGTTTAACTTGACAGTGCTAGGTTAACGGTTGGACTTGATGATCTTAAATGTCTTTTGCAACCTAAACGATCTATGATTCATTAACACTTACAAATCACTGGAATGTTATACCTAACATGTAGATGTGGCACACAGGGACATGGTTTAGTGGTGGACTTGACAGTGCTAGGTTAACGGTTGGACTTGATGATCTTAAATGTCTTTTGCAACCTAAACGATTCTATGATTCAACAGAAGTTCCAGATTGATTGCAGTAACAGCAGCAATGTTTTTATTGTCTTAGCACACTGGACTTTATAAATTTTTGAACTCCCTCAGAAACAGCAATCATGGGAAACTAACAGAAGTTAAGTGGTTTACCCTATGCCACAAACAAGTCAGTGGTAGACCTGAGGTTAGATAGCAACAGTATTTCTTAGCCTTACTAAACAATAAAGAAAACTGTTTCTGGGCAGCCATTAATGTCTGATTATTAGGCTGAAAAGTAGCAAGTTTTGATTTTTCAGCATGAAAATTCCCCTGGAATTCCTCCAGAGTCCTCTAATGAACAGATGATCTCAACTTTAATCTTACTTCATAATTATCCAAGGATAACATTTCTTCAGCGTGGACTCTTTAAACACATACAATTTCTAGAGCAAGTAATATTCAAACTAATTCATTTTTCCTTCAATCCACAAAACCAGAGTGTTGAGAAGCAAACAGCAATAAGGGGATGTTGAGGGTACACTGAGGACATAGGAACTACAAAGTTCAGATTAATGCGATGGTTTGATCCCACCTTGTCAAGATCAAAGATCTTCAATCTCAGTGTATTTTTTTAAGAAGCTGGCATACCTTTATGTTGACCTTTAAATTGCTCATGGAGGAGTTGTATCTGACATATATCTGCATTCTTGAGATGAATGAGCACCAATAGTTTACAACTTGTCTTTTTTCCTAGCAACCTGAACGTGGCAACCTTTTCCAGAGAGACTCAAGGTACACTTCTTTCATGTTCATTAATAGCAGTCTGCCAACAAAAAACAAAACAAAACAAAACTCCAGGCTAAATGAATAGATTTTTTTTCCCCACTCACTTGGGCTTACCATACAGCCTAATAATTCTACAATTTTGTTTTAAAACTTCTCTTTTGTGATGTGTGGGGAGGGAAACCCTGAGGGATTCTTGCTTCTGGCACCAAGTACTAGGTACGCAACAGGTGTATCTCACTCTGAGGATAAGAGTTAGGTAGGGAGTTTGCCTTGGGCTGTATATCGTCAAACCAAGTCGAAGGTGTTGTAAGTGAACTCAGTGAGGACAAAAATCTATTTCGGACCAAAAGGCAAAAAGCTTGATCATTGTGGATCTTTGGTATGAATACAGACCATAAAAGTGAACCTTTATAATCCTTCTGAATTGAGTTTTAAGGAGATACCTGGACTCTTGAAAGGTAAGAGTGTTTCCATGGTCTTTCCAATGCTGACAGCAAAAGGTAGGTGCGAGGGGAGAGAAACCACCTCCTCTCTCCAACAAATTCATGCTCTAAATGCAAACAAAGGCAGCAGAGAGGGATATAGCTAGGCCAGAGAGGCAGTAGGATCCACAAGAACCCCAGAAAGTAGGGCTATGGAACCACTGAGCCATTCCATATCCTATTATCTAGGATAAAAAGGAAAAGAGGGTCGGCTGAGGAAACAGGTCCAGTATCTCTCATCTGGTAGAAGTGTCAGAGTCCATAAGCCTAAATGCTTGGTGTTGAAGTTTGCACAACAGATTTGCAAATGGCAGAAAAAGGTTTATGATAAGAAGAACAGGGAGAGGCAAGTTCCCACTTCCCCTGATGACCCATTTTTCCCCTTTCTGATACCTCTTGCCTCGATTTCCAAAAGATTGATTTTTTTCAATTGACAAGGTCAAAACTGAAGTTACTTTGTTCATTATCCTAGCGGCAGCCAGTTTTGTTCATGCTACTAAGGCTAGCCTCGCAAAGACCAGTACATCCCATTCTCAGACACGGTTGTGATAAAATTTTACACAACTCGTACAATTGGGATTATAAAACAATTAGGAAGTTAGACGGTAACCATTCTATGCATTCTAAACAGTCTGCTCCTCTTTCTCCCTTCCCTCGCTGATAGTTCAGCTGCTTTTTTGTCGCTGAAATGCAGTGAGCTGGATTGGTATGGCTTGATAAAGTTACAAGCCTCCGAAATGACATTCCCAAGTTTCCCTTAAGCTATGTCCAAAGCCTACATTTCAAATGCAAATCACTGCTTAGAAGCTTCCACCTTTTCCTGTCCCTTCACAGACTTCCCTCACTCAAAATCACTCTCTAAAGTGATCTCCTGACTTACCGTGTATTTGTATAATTACCTGCACTAAAAGTGTTAGTTTGAATGAAGTTCAGTGTGCTTTTAAAGAGATAGGATTTATATACATCTCAATACATCATTTACAATTATAGTCTCTACCCAATTAATTATGAACAGAATAGTTATGGCTAGCATTAAAAATCACTAAAAACCAGAGCAAATTTAATAAAAGTTCCATTGATTCTTACTCTACTATTCATGCTACTATTTTACTTTCTGAAAAAAACAGAACAGGGAGATGGGGAGAAGCCTACAGCTTTCCTCCATTACAAGTAGGCTAAAGCAAATAATAGGATGGCATCTTGTCTGAATGTAACACATTCAAATCATGAGAAGCAGCAGCTTTGAAATATTATCTTAGCTAATTGCATAATTGCTATTGTAGCCATTACAAACTGTAATGACAAAACAGTGAAAATTAGTGACTTGCACCAAGCAGACAAGATTCAGGTAGAGTTCTCAGTCTGTTCAGAATTAATTAATAAAGTCTATCTGTAGTCCCAAATGACAAGAAATACCATTATTTTAAGCATGAACATCCAGAATTTTGGTCAAACAGTATCTTGACCTAACATTACAATATTATGTTACCTCAATGCATGCTACTGTAAAACCGTAGGATTTTATTATTTACAGTATATCCTCTCAATCACACCCTCAAAAAGTCCTGTAAGGAAATAACCACAAAATTAGGTGTTAGGCGGATAAAGGTATACATGGTTATTTTAAGCATGAACATCCAGAATTTTGGTCAAACAGTATCTTGACCTAACATTACAATATTATGTTACCTCAATGCATGCTACTGTAAAACCGTAGGATTTTATTATTTACAGTATATCCTCTCAATCACACCCTCAAAAAGTCCTGTAAGGAAATAACCACAAAATTAGGTGTTAGGCGGATAAAGGTATACATGGAAGAAATCACAAGACTACTATTATACAGGCAGTACAGTTTTTTTATTTTTTTTTTCCAATTTAGCAAAAAATATATCCTCTCAATCACACCCTCAAAAAGTCCTGTAAGGAAATAACCACAAAATTAGGTGTTAGGCGGATAAAGGTATACATGGAAAAGAAGAAATCACAAGACTACTATTATACAGGCAGTACAGTTTTATTATGTTCTTTCACCAATTGTAGCAAAAACATTTAACAACTGAATGAATAATCAAGGGAACTTAATTGTCAACAGGAATTTCAGAATTATGTTCTAAATTTTAGACCAGGAAGGCTTGACAGGGAGAAAACAAACCATATACACACTGTAATAATAGTCTCTATTATGAAGATTTAATGCCTTCTTTAAAAGCACTGAGATTATTGAGGCACCTTACTGCAGGTTATGTATCATCTCCTCTTTGGCAATGAGATGTGTGGTTTTGTTAACTAGGGCCATTAGTGAGTTGAGCTTGTGAGACCAGTCATTGAGTATATTGTTTGGGTCCTTCGGCCTCTGAAAATTGATAATTCCTGCCAGCCTGTCTACTTTAGCAAAGATGGTCTTATTAACTACTAGATTAGACAGGAACTCCTCCGATTCCTGTAAAGACAAACAGCACTGAGTCAAGAAAATAGCAATTTTTTATCTACAAAAAAACAGAATTCCTCCCCAACAGCATAAAAGCACAGGGAACAAGACTTTCTTTGTACTTAACAGAAATACAGCTGTAGTAATATTGTACTTAAAAAAATGCACAATACTTTAATATTACACATGTTGGCACTGCAAGGTACTAGCACAATGTATTAAAAAACTTTTTTTTTTTTCCTTTGAACTGTATCTGATTATGTTTCATGAAATTAAAAGTTTAATAGACTACACCAAAAGACTTTTACACTTTGGAGTACATGGCTACACAGATGTCAGAACAAGCCATCTGACAAGCAAGGCATAGGAAAATCCGTGTGAATTACTGAGCACTGTCGAAGAAGGTTTATTCTGAGTTTGTGGAAAAGAGCAGATTTAATTAAAAGACAGTAGGGTAATTAAAAGACAGTAGGGTAAAGCTTTTCATTTGCACTCAAAATACCAATATGCTATGATGTATGAATCTCTTTGGAAAGCTCTTGAAAACACAAAGGGCGATGACAGGAAGACTACTCCACCCCATGTTCCCAAAGTACAACCATCTATAAACAGGGACATTTAAAGGTGAGTTACCCTGTATCTTCAGTCAGTTTTAACCACCCATTGACAAGAACTTTTTAACACTGAAACACAAGACAAGAAGCTCCAGCATTTACATGAGACCTTGAATATAAATGAATTTTTAAGAGCAGCTTTTGCCTTATGGGCACATGCATCATGAAACTGAGTTCTGCCTGGATTAAAAAAACAGTTTTCTAATTCCCATAAAGGCATGAAAATACACTCAGGTCTTCATGTTGCCAGTAAAGCGACAAATATTCGGATTAATACTATTACTCCCAGCAGACTTTTACACTACTTCTCATAAAAAACCCCCAATGAACTAAAGTTCCATTAATGCTCCCTGTCTATCACTATAGCACACTTTGTTCTTCCTGTAAGAGCTGGAAAGCACTGGTAACACAAACAGGAGAATTAGACTAAGGATGAAGCCAGGAGAGCTGCAAGGATAATACAGAGATACAACAATAGATACTGTATCCATGAACATTCATAAACACACAAGTGTAAACCCTGAGAATTTTGTACCAAGCAGAGTATTTCTACAATGCTATGTCTTTCTGCATTGTCTGTAAAACAATGCAATGAGATCTATGGCATCACTTACAGAGCTTTTTAAGCTAAAAAGAGAACTCGGAGAACGTTACTCTGCTGAATACTTACATTTTTGCCACAAACACGTGCACACATATACTTCCACGCCCTTTATGAAAGAAGGGTAAGCAAAGCAACACTTACATCAACGGACAGATCCAGGAGCTGTGCCATTCTCTTCATTGTAATTCTGGTATAATATTTAGCCATTATTCTAATATTCTGGAATAAAAGTGTTCAGAGTAGAGGGTTATGTGCAAAAATAATTGAAGCAGGCTGCAAAAATATAAAAGTCAATGTTAAAAGCGGATTAGGAGCTGTAGTGCTCTAACGGCAGTCCAGCATAAGGTACGTGAGGGAGTCGTGAACAGTTCTTTTGCTTGTAAAAGGTATAAAAGTCTCTACATGACAAACTATTAAGTAATGAAATCAACTAATTATGAATTTAATACAAAGCAAGACTTTCAAGTTTCTGCTCTATTGAAATGTGAATGCTAAATCTCACAATTTGAGTGCAATATGCTCTTTTTTCTGGCAACTGTGCCCAATACCTATCTATAATAAAGATATACGAGCAAATAAAACGTTGAAAATGTAACACAATGGAAAAGGCAACTTATCTGCTGCTTTACTACATACTTTTTTGTTTCTTTTTGTAACTAACATATGGGAAGCGACAGGCATTTTTAGTTGAGGCACATTTACATAGCTAATGCTTAGAGACAGCCATACTTACATGTTCCACAACTCTGTTCTTTAAATCTTTCCATCTCTTTTCACCTTCCTCTGTACAGCCAAAAACATCTGTTGCAGGACTGTCGAGGGATCCTTCTCTCAATTCTTTCCCGTATTCTTCAACTAGGGCAGTCCATCGCATCAATTCCATGGTGGTAAATAGTTTTAGGAGGTCTCTAAATGGTTTAGTAAAGTTGATTTACAACCCTGTGTTAATAAGGCTCATTTCATACTTAAATAGATCGAAGAAATAATTTTAAATGTTTTAATTTTATTACCATTAATATTCATTGTTCTTCGTGAATATACTCTGTAATACTTCAAGCTACCAAGGGCAGCTCAAGTCAGGCTGTGTTTCTAATAAAGATCTTCCTCTTATAAAGAGACATTTATTTTAATGTATAACTTGCACTTTGCAGTATTTTTCATACAGCATTAAATTCTGAGATGCTTACAGCACTCTCCGTAAACAGATTTCACTTGCACAGCTAGTTTGAGAGAGACACTGGGTTTTTACCTAAGAATTGTTTATTAGAAAGAATACTTACTTATACTTCGGGATTTCTTCTAGCTTTTTGTCACTACTAATTCTGTGCACCAAATCAGATTGTTCATTGTCATAAGGTGAAAGAATAACATAAAGAACAACGCTCTTCAGTGCCTGTTTAAGAGGAAAGAGTGTGGGGTTTTTTGCCATAATTGAACAATTAAAAACACTGCCCACAGAGCTTAGAATTTAACATGTAAAAGGCTTAAGCCCAGCGTATTAGAAGTTCAGGTGAAATTGATGTCATCTTGCAGAAATGAACCCTCATTCACAGTGACAGATTTAAATTGAGTCAGGTTAACTAAAATTCTAGTATTTAAAATAAATACATGAAAAAAATCTTTCCAAATACGTCACGTCACATTTGTGTTGCATACCCAACAGCATCATTTAGACCACACTTGCACAGCTGTTTCTAATTTCTGCACTTTTATAAAACAGACAAGACGTTCTCAAGATTTCAAAGACAACATAGTGAAGATGTTAGTTATAAATATTCATTTGAAATCAACTTTATTTTGTCTGTTTTCAACTAATGAATTTGTTAATATAGCCATTAAAAAACCCTAAGAACACAGACTGATGAGCTATTTAATTGCCTGAAAATTGATCTGGTAATGAAATGGGTATTTGCCACATGAAAATACAGGTATTTTTTATGCAATGTTTTTTTACCTGCTGCCACTTTTCACTTTCAGCCTGGATACATGGAGTATCATAAATGGCTCTGTAGTGCTTACAGATGGAGAGGTAGGAGCCTTCATGTTGATCCAGCTGGATCATTAAGTTGTAGTATTTCAACTTTAGTTTCTGAAACAGTATCAGACAGTAAAATTAATACAGCTCCATGAATCATGTAAATGAAATCCAACTGGATACCAGAAAACACGGGGATTCAAATACACTTGGACATGGAGAGGCATGTCAGATTAAA